GCATCCTGCTGGAATTAGGCACAAACACCACCCTGATGCTTTTATGTAAGTATGCCACGATGGGCCAACGTTTGCTGTCTGCACAGCTACAGAGACAATCTTTCATCATACAAAACCTCACAATCCAACTCAGTTATCTGGATGCTTCATTCTCCACTACAGGCTCACTTGTTTTGTTAGCTCCTGCGGTCCCAGAGGAGAGAGGGAGAAGGAAGTGCTCCCCAGCTTCCCTGCAGGATGTGCCAGCTATGGGAAACTGTCTGCAATTTCTCAAACTGCCTGCCTGAGAAGCTGCTAAAATACAAACATATGCATCAGCGAAACAGGGAAAAACGACCTACCTTCTCCAGCCAGGGATTATGGCTCTAATTCAAGATACTTGCACACTGCATTTCCAAATTTGCTTTAGAGCAAGGGCAAACTGATCCTACGAAACGCAAAGGCTGCAGGCAGAGCCTGGTGTTTCCTCAGCCGAGGAGAACCAGGAGAATCAGGAGAACCCCTCGGCGAACACAGGCAGACTCTCATACGCTGGAAGATGTTGCCACCTGCTGTTTAAATGGAGGATGGGCTTAAATAGTTTGCGGTAATTGCTGGGTTGGAGCAGCTGGAGCAGCCTGGCGGGTGCAGGAGGGAAGCACCGCGCATCTCATGCACTCAGGCTGACTTTCTGTGCCGTATCCCAGCTCTTACCGCAGCTTCTCCTCCACTGCAGCTGGCAAACTCCACCCGTAGGACCCTCCATTTCTCCCTGCAGTTTTCTCCCTGCAATCAGAGCTGCAGCGCCACCAGAGAAGCCCCCTGAGAGCCCCTATGGCTGGTCAGGGCCACCTCTGCTCTGCTGCTCCCGGGACAGGGTGAGGGTCTTGGGATGATGGGGAGCCAGGCTGGGCCAGGCCTGGGGGTCCAACAGCACATCTGATACAGAAGTATTTATTATTATTGGGTTTTGTTTTTGAAGAGCTATAAAAAGCACTTAAATACAGCAGGAGCAGGTGGTGAACTGCTGCCCTGATTTGCAATTCAAAGAATTAGGTCATGGCATTGAGGATAAGAGCGTACACAACTATGCACATTGGGCAGGATTTCAAACAAATAAACAAACAAACAAGGCCCACGTTTTGCTGGTAGGTGGCTCGGCCCAAGGGAGAAGCAGCTGGTGCCACTGCAGGTGCAGCCAGGTGGGAGTGCTGTTCCCCGTGGTGCAATGCTGCTGGGAACCATCCACCCCACAGCAGCTGTGTGGAAGGGAGAGGGATGCTGGGGAGGGGACAGCAGGGCTGGGGAGAGCTGGGCTGCAATGAGGATGGCTACACTGAATGGTTCCCACTTTTGAACAGCATCTCCTCCAGCACAAGTGAAGTTCAGATCAGCAGAGACCTCACCACTTTATCAGCGTGGTAGAAACCAGGGACAGCGTGAAGCAGGGCCCGCTGCACCCAGTGGGGTTGAAACAAAGCAAGGAGCAAGCTGCACCCGGAGCAGGGCAGTTCTCACCTGGCAGTGCACAGCCAGCCCCAAACGGTGCTGCCCTTGCAAGACAAGAACACAACCCACTAAGCAGAGCATCAGCTGCTGCAAGCGCAGGATGGGCTCTGTAAAAGCTGCAGCCGTGGCACTGGGCAAGAGATTCTGGGCCACCTCTCCCACACAAAGTGTTTGCCACTGCTCACACGTACTCATGAGAAGCACACAGAAGAGGCAGCTTGGGGAGAAGCGATGCAGCAGCTTTCAAAAGGAACTGAATATTTTAATATCTACATGGAAGCTTTGGGCAGCAGACAACACATCTCTTCTACCCATTAGTAATCTTGAAAAACCCTCCCATCCCGCCCTTACGTTGTCACACAGCTGCTCTTTCCATCCCATTGGCTTCCATGGAGGCTACTGCTAGCTGACTGAGGAGGGAACTGGAGAAGCCAGGGGAATAACATGTTCTTAATAACGCAAAACCACAAGTTTTATCTTGATTTACAGCCTGGCTATCTTAGTGCACACAGAAAGATGATCACCTGCATTAGGAAATTGCCCTGGCAGCACATAACACGTTGTGGCTGCCTCAGAACTCTCTGCATGACAGCACTGAGGTGATACATTACACAGAGATAAGAGAGCTCGAGTTGCACACCCTGCCATGAGAAGGGATAAGATTTCTATTCTATCTGCCAATGTCTGCCAGCAATTTCTTACAGTACTGCTTGAAACAAGACATGATGGGAACAGACGTCGCTCCGAAATCACAAGGTGGTTACAGCCAGTGGGCGAGGAATCCCATTGCCATCCTCTGAAGAACATTTCTACCATTTCTATTAGAATATAGTTCACATTTCAGAAGAGGGAACATTTGGACCTAGCTGGAAGCCACACAACCTGCCAAGGCTGCATATTGCCTTGGAGAAACAACCGTGTGCTGACAGGAAGGATGGCTGGGAAAATCCACAGTACAACACAGCATTTCACAAGTGCTTATTCCTCAAGGTGCATCAGCAGCTCCTTTCAGGAGTGGCAACACAGCAGGTCTTCGTGATGGGTGGCCACCAAACCCAGCAGCCACTTGGCAGGAAGGAGTATGGGATGAAGCATGGTCGGATTGTGGAGGAGGGAGCAGTTGCCTTTAGAGAACCTTAAACAGCATCAGGTTAGGAAAACTGAGATGCTGGAAATGTAAGCTGTATCAAGAGAAGCTTGGATGCGTTAAGGATACTCTGGCAGGAAATCTGAGATTCGCATGCAAACCCGGCCCTTGAGGGAAAGGCTGCCCTTAGCTTGGGCACTAACAGCCTGCCCTCACCACCCAGGGACGAGCAAAGCCCAACAGCACTGTGCAAGCTAGGAAGATGAGCCATTCATACACCAGCTGGTTCTGCGGGCTCAGCTGTACCTTCTGCTTATTTCCCAAGCACAAACTGATAATCTCCCACCCCACTCTTGGTTTCCATGTTGATTTATTTGCACTGGTTTGTGGTTGAACCAGATCGAGGTGCACACTGAATCAACAGGACAAAAACAACCTTCTTGTCAAACAACTAAGGGCTCCCTCATGCTTATTCTGGATATTAAGATTGCCTCACTCCCTAGGATGCCAAATAGAGGGGTGGTGTTAGCGTTGCCTCAGCAGCATGAGCACATGTGTCACTGCTCAGGTGATGTGAGCTCATAACCTGAACTCCAGAGGCACAACACACAGCCTCTGAGTGACTACAGAAGGGCACCACCTGGTCAGTGACCACCTAATGGAAAACTGCCGTGAAAATGAAACCTGTAACACTGCTACATCTGAACTCAACAGCTGTGCTTTGCGCTGGAAGCAGGAATGTCAGCAACCAGATCCTCAGAATGCTGAAGCAGAACCCCGGGTAGGCAACATAAGCAACCCAATGAGATTCGTGCCATAGCAGAAAAAAAAACACCCTACATTTGTGGTCTTTTCATGCTATATACGTATATACACACATGCTTCTTCCTATCTCTCTCTATACAAAGTAAATGTATAAACATAAATGTGTGGGCTAACGCAGCAGCTGACGTGGCAGCCTGCTTGCAGTGCCATGCACAACAGAACTGACCATAACTTTCCCATCCTCCCAACTTGCTTTACACGTTCAAAACTGAATCGAGATCTTCTTAAAACAGTAGTGCCTCTGCTAGCCTTAGGACTGCCTGAAGACTACATTACTCTAAAACAATCAGTGTGGACAAAACAGCCAGCTGAAGTACAGAACTGCTCCTAAATCCATCACGCTGCGCCTCACCTGTGTGGGTGGCATTTAACAGCACCTGGTAAGGGATGCAAGAGACACAGCATGAGCCAGTGACAACCTGAGTGCAGTGGGCTGCTGACCAGCTGTGATCAAAATACCACAGAATATTCATGTGCCCTCATACAGCGAGCCTAAGCAGAGCAATGCCTCATTTCTGATTACCCCAAATGCGTATGGGGGGCAGTAAGGTGGGGACAAAGAGAACAAGTGTGATTAAAACAGTTTGCTGGTAAATTAAACCTCTGCTTCAGAGCAGCTGAGAATGCTAAAGCAGAACCATTTCCACAGAAAGTATGCCCAGAGTTTTGACCAGTTCTCAAAGCCACTCAGAACAGCAACTTCTTTTCCAGGCCGTGGCTTTTGCCTGTTCTCTACATTACCCAATTTCTTGGATCCCACTGGAGCCCAGCGGGGCAGGAGCATCCTCTGTGGTATAGTAGAAGATGAGGGAATTTTGCAATTCTGTTTATTGGAAAGCAAAAACTATGTCCATTCAGTGATAATCACTGTCTTTTCTCTGAAAAGAGAGGGGTGATCTATTTGAAATAAGTTACAAGGAGTCTCTTACACAGACCGCTGAAAAGCTCTTCAGTGGGAAGCGAAGTGAATAAATGACATTTCTGATAAGAGTAACTTGTGTATAAGAAAGTATGGTAGCAGGAGTAATACAAGAGGCATCTGCAAAAATGAGCTTTTCTTCAGTGTTCTGCAGGCAAATCAAAGACAGAATTCCCCAGCAGTTTAAGAAGTTAGCTGCTCTTTAAACACCAAGTTCCCAGCTACTGCTGTTACTAAAATGGACTCGATTCACTTAAGCAAAAGGAAAGAGAAGAAAAAAACCCAACTGCTTGCCAATGAACCTACCAGAAGTCCCTGAAGAGGCTGCACACGTGGTACAGCAGCCTTGCCAAATGCTGCTGGGAGGCACAGCAGAGATGCTGCAGAGCTGAGACCCCCCTGGATCCCAGGCAGGTCGGACGCAGCAGGAGCACACAGACAGCTGCTGCCCTCTCCTGGCAAGAGGATTCTTCTTTCGCCAACACAACACAGCTGGCACCCTGCTGCTGGCTTAAATGAGATGCACAGACAGCTTAGGAGCATTTTCTGTGCCTTACAGTGATTCCTCGGGCAAATCAAAGACAGGTGGCAATCATCTCCGGATGGAAGAGAAGTCAAAGCGCCTCCCAGGTTAAGCACTTGGCTACACGAGTCCTTTAAAACTGCTGGCACCGCACTGTGTAACATCACAACATTGTTTATTATGTGACTTTTTACAATACAAACAAAAATACAGAAATGCAGTATATGAATACAGCTAAATGCGAAACGGTGATTTCTTTTTCTTGAGGCCATATTCCCATCTCTAGTAAAATAAAGAAAGACTGCACACAGGTAGAAACAGGTTGGTAGTTAACTCCACAATTTTGCCTAGAAATGACCTATAAATGCGTTTTCCTGCTACTTACCATAAAATGTAAAAAGGGAGTTAAAGGAAAGATTTACTCACTGGTTCCTACCATATGAAAGAAGCTATACTCTATTTAGGAGGGCCAATATATGGAAAAATATCTAAATTAAATGTTATTACAAAAATGAAGCAGTAATGAGATCCTTCTGGCTAAAGAAGTTACTAAATGAGAATAGCATATATTTAAAGAATCCAAAACATAAAAGGGTTGTTATAAAAAGCTTAGGTGCACTGTAAGCCTACAACTTCTGTTTTTCCATGTGTACTTTTAAACAATGGAAGTGTCAAAAATAGGGTCAACTGTGTTAGACTAAATTACATTATTGTATATGCTGCACTGAATGGAATTCTTGAGTTACAATGATAGGGAAGCATCATTTGCATCATCATTATGGCAATTTATCCTCGCTAAAAACCGTCTGGAGTCCTTGCATCTGTCTCCTGTAAACCGTCAAACCACCAGGACATGATTGTACAACAGTAAAATGTTTCCTTTTGCATTAAAATGACGTCTGTTTAAAAAACGAAAAGGAAAGAAAAAAGACAAAAGGTACTCAGAGCTGTTACTTTTCCAAGTACACAACACCCTAGGCAATTCAAGGCATCTCATTCTCCATCAAAATGAACAAAAATTTGTCATGCTGTTAAATCCATTACTATGGATACAACTGGTGCAAAATTAGTCAAACGGATCCGACAAACACTGATGTCCAGGCTGGCATATTGGCAACTAATACATAACTGGTGGTCAAAGTGATGCATTTAAAATATCTTCCCTTTCTTCTTATTCTTTTCCAAGGTTCTACAACAATATTAAAACAAAACATGTTAAAAACTGAATACGAGTTGTGTGCCTTTTTTATATACAGGTTATGCATTCTGCCACATCTTGCAGGTTGTGATGCACGGTGTGAAAATTTATATAAAACTACAGCAAATATAGTAAAGAAAACTTAAGCATCCATCACAGTATTACCCCAGCTATGGACTACAAGATTTAAATGATTAATTCTTGAAGCCTCAGCTCTCTATCCTTCCAAAGTCCAATATAATCTGACTTTCAAATACAAATAGTTTCTTTTAAGATAGGTCTAGTTATGTTTGAAGACTGTTTTTCCAGATTAAAAACATGCTTTAGAAGCTAACAATACTCCCACCGTGTCCAATACTCGGTAATTAAGTGCAGTTTAAGATTTCTCTTGGATTTTAGGTGGTATTTCCACAATGGTCAAACACCACTGACCTTTATTAGTATGGAAGTTTCTTTTGAACAGAAAGCTACAAAACATATGCTGTGAACTGAAGAGCATGAATCAATTTACCTGGAGGAATTCTGTTGTTCCAAAATACGTTGCTGAGCTTCCCAGTTTGCTTTCTCATCCTCAAACTGGCGACGCTTCTCCTCTAATTCTTTGTGTTGAGCCTCCAAATTCTTTTTCATTTGCTCATGGCGTCGCTGCAGCTATAGAAGAAGTCATGAATGGATTCAGTAAGGACACAAAACACAACAGCTGTGCATTTACAGCAACAAACATCAGCAACTAAAGTGCTAGTGCTGTAGTTTATCTTTAGAGAAAGTAATTCTTCAACCAAAAGCACTAAGTTTGGAAGTAGCAGTAAGAGTAAAATCAAACAAAACAAACACCAAAAGCCATCACATCTCAGAGCCCATGGAAAACACTGCAAATGCTTCCTGAGTTACAGACAGGAGCTGTGGGCAGTTAGATGCTGCAAACAAAAGTAATCCAGAATATTTGATATTTATTGTTAAATAACAATGCACATGTTAAATTACAAAACATGTGAATATCAGTAATGCCTCAAATAATAGTATCTCACTGTTTTCATCCTACAGCTTTAACTGCATTAAGGACCCGTTTGGAAAAACGTTATTAATTTGTTTCTTCCCCAATTAATACGAATTATTAATAATCTTAGTAATGAAATGGATTAGTAGTATTATGAAGGTGAGTTATCTGCACTGTCAGTACAGCATAACAAGTCTCTCCTGGACACTTCTGTTGGTAGGAACTGCAATCAAATGCCCTAGATGCAAGAATGGAAGCACTGTGAGGAAAAGCAAAATCCCATTTGAGTAGTCTAACAAGTGTTTCTATATGAGATGAATAGAAACAGCCCTTCTCCTTTTATCTTCTGAGTCTTACACAAACCCTTCAAAACACTTTAAAAAAAAGCTTCCAACTCAGAACTATCTGCTGTCTACTTTTGAGCATACAGAAATATAATGAAAATTTATGAAGAATGGAGGAGGTAAAAAGAATGAATTACATGAACAGTTAAAAACTGATAATGGAGAGACACGGCTGGTGAAGAAGTCAGGAAGCAGTAAATGAAAAACAAAAATAAAGAGCTTTGTTTTTAAGGTCACCATTTCATTGCAGGCTTATTGCCACAGTACATTGTGGAAGCCAGAAGTATGAATGAGATAAATAAATTAAAAAAAAAAAAATCAAGGCAATGTAACTCCATCAGTACTTAAACAAAAAGACCCCTCGGTTGATGGTTTTGTTCTTCTGGGTTTTATGCTTTGTTTTTCCCCTCCCCTTCTCTGATGCAGTAAATCTTGGCTCTTTACAATACCCAGACTCAGGAGCATTGTAACTACTCTGCCAAATTTCCTCTCTCCCTTAAATCTGAAGCCAAATTGTCTTCTGGAACTTTGACAGTTCTGAACTCCTCCACTGAACTCCTTAAGAGCAGCTGCCTCTTTACAACTCAACATTTCTTTTCTACCTAAATGCAATTTGATACAAATCTCCTAGAAGGAGCACTTCAAGGGGTGCCTGAAACCCATAAAAATGATTGCACTGTCAGGAGTTCAACTGGATGAGACAGAAGAGTTAAATATGTGCAAAATTCACATACGTTCATATGACACAAAAATACTGCCAACAGCACACACTTGTCTTTTCACCTCACTGCTCTCATCTAGATGCTCTTAGATGTTGTACCAGGAATTCCTGAAATGCCTCTTCAGTACATGAGGGCAACTGCTGTTACTAAATCAGCTCGTGTGAAACCATCAAAGTCTCAAGAACTTTAAGTGCACTGGAGAAAACTGCTACAAAATATTCCACAGGAGGAGGAAAAAAGTGGATAAGAAAATCATGAAGTACTTCAGTGTACTGTGACAGTGAAAATGAACAGAGCATGTATAGGAATGTTAAAATTACATTTTAAGTTTGTGCTTACACCATTTCAGCCAAGACAACAAGACGGGAACAAAGAATAACCAAGTTTTCTTCAACCATGAAATAAAAGCTGGAAGACCTTGGAGAAAAAGAGCCATCTCTGCATTTGTTCAGCTTCAAGGACACTTAAGGCATTTGATTACCTCAGCTTCAGAGTCCTTCAGTTTCTGTACTTTTTCTTTGACTTTCATCTCAAACACCTGTTCCATTTCCATCTCCATTTTTTTCATCTTGGCTACATGCTCTCTCCTTTCCTCCTCCATCTGTGCCAATGGGCTCCTGCCATAAATACAGAAGAAGTTAGCTAATCACTTTTTTTTCCTGTTCCATTAGGGCATCTGCAAGAAAAACAAGATAAAAATGCTGAAGCACTAAAATAAACAGCACGGCTGTATGCACAGCCAGCTTAAATTATTTTCTATTATTTTATTAACTATTATGCTTTCTACAAAATACATTACATACAGTATCTCTCCCCCAGCTGATATATCTTGCATTAAAATTAAAGAAGCTCTTTTTTCTTTCTTAAGTAAAACCTGGTCGTGCACAGGGAAGAAATCAAAGTAATAAAAAAAATTAGACATCTTCCAAGTGATCTTCAGGCATCTTGTTCTTTCCAGTTCAAATGTATGCAAAAATTAATGGACAGAAACTTTATGTGGAACAGATTAATAGAAATTTTAATGGTGTTGCAGACAAAAGTCTCAATTTCTCTCTAAATTTTCACTGTTCAAAGTGATTGTAAGTGTAAAGTTAGCATTACAACTGTGTTGAAGGTTCTGGTTTCTACTTCTAAGGAGTTAACTTAGCGAAAAAAAAAGCTTGGGGCAACTGAGTGTCAGTTATTCATGAAGGTGTTAGTTGGATGACTTGACTCTAGAAAAACACTATTAAAGAATAAAAATAATGCAGTTCTTTCCCTTGCATTTTACATGGTTACTACTTTCCTGAGTTGTACTGAATTTTTTAAGGTGTACGTAAAGCTTGCATCTCACATTAAAGTGATACAAGTTTTAAATGACAAGTGTGACATTAAACACCCAATAAAACAGGGTAATTTATGACCCAGTGATAATTCGTACGCAGTCCTACCAGCGACTTTCCTGTTCTTCATCAAACAACAACTACTGGCCTTATTCCAGATCTGAGTAACTGTGGCTTTGGAAAACATCAATTTTAGCCATTTTAGTGGTAAAAATGGGAGGACTGTTGAATATATAGGGAACTGTTACAATCAACAAGCAGGGGGGATCTGCTGTAAAGCATACAACGTTCGCTCAGACTGGTAAATTGTAACTTAGCGGTGGCAAATCTGCCCTCTACTAAAAATGCTTTTGGTGTCAGTGCTTAGAAACAAAAGAACAAAAAACCAATATTCTAAGAGGACATCTAATTGAGGAACTTCCAGTGATGACTGAAGTAAAATCAGCAACATCTATTTTGATTTAGTTTGTCATTCTTAAGAGAATGAGCATACATGCCAAACTGTCAAGACCTGTTGGGACTGCTAATGGCTCAGTTTATCATTATTACTTATATTCAGCTGACCACAAAGTGAAAGTGAAGTATGTCACGTCAAGGCTCACATGAATGGTTTTTCAAATACTGGCATTTCTAAATATGCTTCAAAGTTGATAATTGGGGGTGGTGAGGAGGAAGAAAATGGCTCTTCTGTTAAAAAAGAATTTAAACCTGAACTATTATTTGCAAAATTTGGAACAAACACACAGATCTGAAAGTGATCCTCAGTCTAATGCTTACTTTAGCCATATAAACAGCCAACTGAGAGCAACTTTTGTCAAGGAGAAATTTTGATTAAGCATGGGTCACATATAAAAATACACAAAAATTGTTTCGCTTAAGAAGATGATGAAAGAGAAAGCAAGTAGCAGTATTTCTGTAAGGTTACCAGCTGTCAAAATCAAACTATTCAACTGTTGTTATTTTTTAGGACAATCAAGTTCTCCAACGTGTCTGCTCTTAGATTAACCTGGGACAGACGTGGGAGCAGTACTGTCCTTCTGCTGACAGCCTGGCAGTCTAAAAGAGATGTCATGCAAGCTGTGCTTGGCAGAGTGGCAACAAGTAGTCTGCATAGAAACTCTGCTGAACTCACCAGCAAACATTTAGAGCTGAGATCTTTTCAGAGGTCACAACTTGTTTTTTGTTAGGGCTTAAGTAGCTGCCACAGGTTTACCTTCTATTTCAGGCTAAAATAATGCTAATATATTGAACAAAAAAGAGCTAATCCACACAGCAAGGATGTCAAATGTTCTGTTAGATCAGTTAAGTGCATGGTAACACAGCCCTCTGTTAAAAGTGGAACCTCTGCAAGCCAGTAATAAAATCAAACCATGGTCAGAGAAGATTAAAGTGACTGACTTCTCAGTCCAATGAAGATGGGTAAATTTACAGGTAAGCATGAAAATTCCACTCATTCTTTATTAGCATCTATATTAATTAATAAGATGGATCTTTAGATGGAAACTGGAAGAATTTCATAATTTATGAGCTGAAACAGCTCTCAAATCATTATTAAAATTTGACCATATTTGTTTTGAGGCTTAGCCAGGAAGTTTCTAAGGAGAAAGAACTCTACAGAGATATTTGTCACTGAAAATATTTATTATTTCTTAACGTTTATATTAGCATAGCTTTAGAACAACAAAAAACAGCTAGGGAAAAAAAAACGAAACAGTGCCAAGAGTTGGAAAACAGAAAACTGTTTTAAATGTGAACCATTAAACAGTAAAATCCTTTTTGTGTTTAAAGAATTTTTGTCTAAATTTTTTTGGAAAAATTTAAATGACCACTTACATGCCTTCAACTGTGTCAAATCTAAAAAACAAAAAATACAGAGGCTTAGCTTAGCATGCTTAAATAAAACCACAAAACCAAAAAGCAGTAATTTAAAAAGTCAATTCGTTATTAATAGATTCCTCAAGCTAATTATGTGCTCCCACATAAGCAAATTTTTCCACACTGAAAGGAAAGTGTTAGTTCAAGCTTATTATATTTAAAATTCAGTTAGTAAGTCACTACACCATGTCAATATTAATGCAGATTTGATGTGCAGATATTTTCAGGAATAGTTTACCTACAATACGTAATGCTCTTAAAGCAATTTTAAATATTTTAGTGACACGAACAACCACTTGCTCTAAACAAGTTCTATACACCCAAAGCCATATTGAAGCTTATATACTCGTTAAAAGATTGTCACCTAGTAAAGGTAATTACGTGAAAATCGAGCTTTAATGTCCCTGTGCTGCAAAAAGAGCACTTCAGTCAATGGCCAGCAGAGGTCTCACAGGAGGTTGTGCTCAGCTCTGCTTCACTGCTGCTGTGACTTCCTCCCAGCATGATGCTCCACCCTACCTTTCCTTCTCTCTGGTGAAAGGGAAGCAGAGAATCTTGGTGTTTCAATAAGGCTATCAAAATATTGAGAATATGGTCAGAAGGAGTTAGTAGTCGTCTAAGCTAGACAGTTGGAAGAATCTGTGCATTGTGTATTTTGTGACCCACTGTGCCAGTTGATTGAACAGAGCAGTAACCAGATAAGGATCATCTTCACAGTGTACAACATGACTTGAAACCCACTGAAAATATCAACCTCAAATAGCAAACGGAAAGATTTATCGAATTGAGAACTGCAAATTTCAGAGCAAAGGCAGATTTCAGCATATGGCACACAGTGCTCGTGTACAACTACTGCAGAGTGTTATTTATATACCTGAAGATTACCCTTGATTTTTTTTTTTTTTTAATTAAGACGGAGATTTATCTCAACAATTGGAAGAAATCAGACACTAAATACAAGAAGGGAACATCTCGTGGTGCATGCTGCAGACTGCTCTTCGGCCAACGTGCCGCCTGTACAACAGTCGATTACAGTTTCATCAGAGCAAAGGAGAGAAGTAAAAGAAAACAGCATGAAACACATTGCTTCAAGTCATCCACACAACACTGCTGCAGCTCGTAAGGGGTACTTATACTCATTTTCACATTTGCACTTTTGTTTAAAAAGAAAAGTTAACGGTTGCATGAAGAATAAAGATCTCTTAAGCTCTTAATTTATTTCTAAGGTGAAAAGGTCAAGTCAGTCTTCACCAGCTGCCAGGAGGAGAAGCTTTTGGAGAAGTCCCAGCAGCACAGCTCATACAATCTCCTACATACACTCCCACAGTTTACAAAAGGGGCAGCAGCACAGGAGTTTCCAGAGCCAGAGCTTGTATCTGTGTTTAACAGGATGCTTGTAATACAGCCAGACAGCAGCAGAGCCAGTCTCCATCCTCAGATAGAGACACAGGATCTGTCTCTCATTAAAGAATCAGATTTCCAGAGAGCAAGTTAAATATTACTCCATTTAGAGGCAGGCAGTTCTTTCAAAAAGCAAGCAAACACACAGCATTCCTCAGGGACACATAGATGAAGCATTAATATTTGCTCCTCCTCCTTGTCATTAATTTCCAGAAAGACACACATGGTTACCAGGAAAGTTTTCTTTGTGCTGTATCAATATCATAGATTCAAATGTACGAAAGCACATCAATGCCAAAAGAAGCACATTAAAGCTTAAAAGAAAAAAAGGATGGTAATTAAACATGTGGATAAGGCAGCAAGAGAAGAATAGCATCAGCTACTTCATAACCACTATGTGCACTCATGGCACTTTTAAAAAGTCACCCAGAGTTTGAAGAAAATCTCTAATGAAAGGTTCAAAATGCCCGTTACAGTTTGCAAGACTTTGCTGTCTACCAGATGGATTAATCTACCTGATAAATTATTCATTGAAGGAAAAGAAAAACAAACCCCAAAGCCAACGGCTAAATGTGCCAGTTGTATCTGTTCACCTCAGAGATTCAGTGCCACAATGTTCCCAGTGAGAAAACTGGCTTCAAAAGGCACTTATAACTGTAAAGATTTTGGTGGGACAGCACAGTGATTGAGACTGCAACTAAGCATGCTTCTAAAGCAGAGTAGTTCCAGATATTTGGAGTATGAACTCCAGTGAAATAAAAAGGTACAGCGATGACCTCGGTAACTGATTGGCAAAGATGCACAATGCAAATAGTTTTGAAACTGTTTGGAATAGGTATTCATGCAGAAATGTATCTCATATTCACAGTAGGGGAATAAAAAGCTTCTTTTTTTTTAACATATGATACCTCAGATACGGGTAACAGCCAAAGCTCATAGGTACAGGCTAACAAAAATACAAGCAGGCACAGAACACAAGAAATGGCAAACATTCTTACCAAAGTCAAGACTTTTCTAAATCTAAACAAGCTACTGAGATTGGGAAAAGGAGACAAAATGCTACTAAACGCCATATAAAAAAGAAAATCAAAACAATTTTCTCTGATATCCAAAACTGCAATTGAAGATGTTCCCCTTTTCAGTACAGCGATAGCAAACAGAAAAAGAAAAGTGTAATAACAGCAAGTTAGATAGATCCTGAGGAAGTGAAGAACTTTTTATTCTGTGCTGTCATTAACACACGATCAGTTCATGGGGAGAAAGCAGGCTCCAGTTCTTGCACTCAAGTGTGTTTCCTTCCCTGCTGCACTACTCTGTTCTGAAAAGTGCAAGCTGCCTTACATCCGCCCCAGTGCTTTCCACAACTACCTCATGTAGTAATTTCAGTTCTGAGAGCTGCTCCCCTCTCAGCCCTAACACTGCAATGCTATGAATAGCTTGAGAAAATTCTAACACGCTTGCTACACATGTCCAGAAGCTTTGAGCTGCAAATCAGTACTAAGATGGCAGTGAGAAGTGTGTTATGGATGGCAGTTACCACTGTGCTATGGACTACTCTAGCATTTGACTTCACAACAAACTTCACCTGAATTTCAGCACATTTCTTTGAACAGTTGGTTTAAGTGACATATTCCGTCCTATTTTTGTTAATGCTAAGCAAGGAAGCCTCATTTTCTCTCATTCTACATGCAACTACGCTGTGCCCACTTAAATCATTCTCTCACAGTACTTTCAAAGCATGAAGATACTGTCAAGTAGAAAGTGCTTCACTGAAAGAATGGCTTTGAAGCATTCACATAGATAAAAATAACAGCATTTTTCATGTTAATGGTGGGTAGCTTTTCTTTCTTCCTTCCAGGAAAAGCAGCTGTAACTTAGCATATCACGGGCTGAACAGGAGAGCATCCTGTAATTTGGTTGAGAAATTTGTGCCTAAATAAGTCACAGGAAAGAAGAGCATCACTAATTAGTAATAATTTAATCATTAATTACTGTTGATACATGTAGAACTGAGAAAATGCTTATCCTTAAAAATGTGGCTATTTTCAAAAAGCCTTGTATGTGAGGAATACAAGAAAGCTTGCTTTTGTATCTTCCAGTGATTTCATCAGGTTGGCAAACAACTTGCTGTCAGGGGCAATCAAAATGAGGGTTCGAAAGCAACGACCACCACCCCCTGCACTGCAACTTTACTCCCACCAAAGATAAAAGATGTTGCAATAATTTCACCATCATGATAAGCACCCCTGGAAGCAGGCACGGCTGCCATTCAAAAAGAAACAAAACAGCAACAGTGTCATCTAATGTCAACAACCACAGTTTTTAAACTGAAGTTTCTAAGCAAAGCATTAACCCACTCGTGTCTCAGAAGCATTCCCCCTATTGATGATGCAGCATTCCCAAGAGCCAACAATGCCCAAGGTAGTATAGAACCAAAACCAGAAACAATAAGGCAGTCAAACTTTCCATTACACACCAGTGACATGTAACTTACAACCAGAAGCACTAAAAATGTTTCCTCTTCAGAGCTAATTCCAATTAAAATTCATGGTTGTTTTAACCTATTCAGTTAGACTAGCACAGATCTTAGTGAACAGAACAAAACCAAATAATGAGGTAAGCCAGAAGTGCTGTGCTCAGACCAGGGCGCAACTAAAAGGTAACTGGCTGAAGAACAAAAAAGCAAAATAAAAACTCCCACAACAAAGCCAACAACAAAAAGAAGAGCAAACAGATGAAAGAGCAATACAACTGTAACAAGAACTTACTTCGTTAGCTGCCCTTTATTTTTATTGTTGTCAACACCGTTGTATGTAACAGCTGCCAGCTTTCTGCTTCTGTAGTTCTCATAATGTACATTGTTAGTGACATCCTTCAGGTCCTGCATATGAGTTCTGTCAATAAGTGAAATTCATCAGCTTAGTGCATAAACACAAAATACTACCTGAAACAATATTACATGTTCACTTCACAGATGGACTCAAGCTAATATTTCTCCATTAATGTTCCATATCCCACAATGTCATCATTCATCCATTTAAATTAGAGCTGCCCAGACAGCAAAGTCACAGAAACATCAGGTTATTTTCCACTGAGCTATTTCAATTTTGCTTGACGTTATTCCAAACGTTATTCCAAACGTTAAGTGAGGAAAATGAGAGTTCTGAGAATAAACTTGCAAGTATATGAAGAATAAATAAGAAAGCTGGACATTACTTGTATGTAGGTACTCATGACTATGGCAGGCAAGAAACCAGCCAAAATTTCCTCGCTTCTATCTTTCAAGTGTGCAAAAGATAAATGTAAAGTTCAACATCAACACAAGCATGAGCTTCCTCTAGTATTTTCCCATCATCACTCCGGACAACAGTGAAGCTTAAAAGTCAAATCAGCCATTGTTACAGCAGATGAACTTACTGAACCACTGTGAATATAGGAAGAAAAGCCTCTCAGCACCTAACACCAAGAAGCACAGGAATCTTGCTTTGGAAATTAAAAGATGCCTGCAAATAAGTACACATCAAGACTAACAGACAACTTGGATTTATATGGTGTATCACAACTGAAGAACAAATAATCAGGGAGAGAGGATTACTTAAAAACAAAACAGCAACCCACTAGCATCACTTACTACACATGCGGTTAAACGAGCTCTTACCAAACCTGAATAAAAGCTTACACTTAAAAATGAATTCACTACTTCAAATCCTTTTTTCCTCTGACACATGAATTTCCAACTTGTTACACATCTTAGAAAATGTAATGTTACCCAGAAGTTGCTTACCTTATCAACATGTTCCTCAGAATTGTGAAGTCACAGTGTTCCCCATTTTCAACTGCAGAAAGAGAGGAATTTTTGTTAAGACTCCAACCAAAAAACGTGCCTTTCTCAGAGTAAGGCTTTCTAGATATCATCCACCTTCTAAATTCATTCCAACAACAGATTTCCTCCAGCCTTTTTTCACTTGCACAGTATGTGTGATACCAGCAGGAGAGCATTAGCAGCATAACTTGTATCAGTGCATCCTGCCAGCCGAGTTCTTGTGTTCCCTGAAGCCATACGACCACAGCAGAAACACAGTTTTGTCACTTTCACCATCTTTATGATCCTTTGAAGGCCCTGTCAGTACAGCTGTGATTAAGGATCAGACATTAACTGAAGACCTCAGCCTAGATCCAGCTATGTTCAAAATCTTGAATAAAGCAGACTTTATGAGGGCATTTTTTCCCTCCAACACCACAAAGGAGATGCAAAGTCTTCATCTGAATTTTCATGTAGTTTTGCTGTTCACCAAATAAGCAAAGGAAGGCTGCACGCTCAATTTTGCAAAGGAATTTAAGTCCTTTTAGTTAAGCTGCAGTTGTTCCCTTTCAAAAAAATCATACAATCACTTGAGTTTGAAACATTTCTGACGTTTGTTTTAAAATAAAGAAGAGCTGCACCATTTTGTACATTTCAAAACACTAACGCAAGAGCCTTAAAATAAAGCTTGATCCATTCTGGTGCAGCTGGTTTTTACTTTGTGCCAAACCTCATTTCCTGCCAGACATGCACTTCAAAGAGCTACAGCATTGCTCTTTAAAGTACTGGTCCATACTGTGCTTGGTTTCTTTGCTGTTTTACACTGCATTGAATTGATAGTCCTTTGAAGGTAAAAAATGTGAGAAAAACCTTCTCTTTATTCAGTACATGCACACTACAAAGAAAAAAAAATGCAGACATCATACTATCAAGGAGAACAACACAAGTTTATAACCTTTATTTCACTATATGGCTTGGTGCAAGCTTTATTTTCCACATGTCATTTCAAACAGGTGAACAGAGTTAAAATACAAGTAATGGTTGCCAAAAGAACAAGCCATCATCTTAAAAACTTATTTTCTAGAGTAGCTGAATTTTAACACAAAAAAGGGAACTATAAAAACTACTCAATTCAATACTAAGTACCTTCCTGCCATTATGCCTCAGCAATTAAGAGGCAAACATTTTAAGAAAAAACATCTGTCCAGAAACTTTAAGTTGAATTTATGCTAGTCAAGCACATCACATTAACATTTATAATATGAACATCCTGGAAAGTAGAATTCAAGGAATGAATATATTTCATATAAAAGAAATTAAAATAAGGATACTAGAGAAGACTTATTTTAAGCCTCATCTTACGTAGGAACTGCAGTAAGTTAAAGGTTTACAGTTCCTCAGTGAAACTTCAACAAAATTCTGCTTGCAAAATTATGTGTTGCTGAACCTCTATCTCGTTCCTGTCAGAACAACAAAAAATAGTATATTCAAAAACACATTAAGTTAAGCATTCCAAATAAAAGCTAATGTCCTAATATGCTTCAGATGGCTACAAACTGCAAGAAAGCCTTACCTTCTGCAACACCCCATGGGTACTGTCTTCCTCTAACTCTCTTGCCGTTGACTTCAATGATTGTATTACTACCTACCACAGCCAGAGGTAAACGGTCCTACAACAGAAAGCACTGCTTTAAGAGAAGTAATTCAACATTTCCAATGCAGATAGCAAAAGCATGATCGTGTATAAACTAGACATAAGGCAGTTCAGTGTTGTGACACAGCAATGCAGTTTGCCCAGACCACATGAACATTCCTAACCTCCAAGTAGTTTGTTACACTTTTTATACACATGCACACTCCTTTGAAATCTGCAGACTGACACATTCTGTAAATCTGGCTAAGAAATACTGCTGTCATTTGGTAAGCTAAACAGACTATTTAATCTTCTTGCACAGTAATTATTTATCAACTCCTACTGCCACTGGCTACAATGATTACTACTCAGACTGGATTGTTCTACTCAGTTTTCTAAGATTTGCCAAAGAACTGCTTCAAGTTCTTGTTTTCAGCTGAATCAAAAAATCTCTCAAGTGTAACAAGCAAAGTAGCCAAGAGCAGCTTCAAAGAGCTGAAAGGAACAGCATACACAGATCAAGTATTCGGGGCTTTCAGTCTTGCTTTTATTCTTCCTCTTCTCCTTCAGGCCAGCATATCTTAGTCCCAGAATAGCTTTAATTTGTGCTACTTGTGTTTTATTTGTCTTAGGCAACTCCCACAATAACAAAGGATGTAAAAGCTTTTACAGGCTGCTAAAGAGCAAAAAGAAGGAACAGCTGCAAGATGGACTCCAACATACAAGAAGAAACCAAAAAACACAAGTAAACAAGAAGTCTTTCAACAGCCTGAGGGCACTATGGATTGTCTTTAGTCATTCATCTCCATTAAAGTTTCAGAAGATCAATTAGTCAGACAACACTTCTAGTAAGTGTAATGCACACACTTCATGCCACTGCACACCCTTCTGAAAGAGGATCCTTGCTTCTTACTAAGCAGAATGTGTCAGAATGTGGCAGGTGGATAAAAGTCAAAGAGGGATGGAATAAATAAAAAGCAAGTGATCTTTAAAAGTTAATTAATGAGAATGTGATCTAGTGTTGTCAATAGGAATTTCACTCGTGAAAGGGCTTAAGCAATCTCTGAGAAGAATTTCATTCCCTCAGGTGGAAAGCAGCAATTCTCAGAACAGCCATACATCTTTCTTTTCCATCCTCTAAAAAATCTGGTGGGCTCCCTGCTAAGGACAGAGCTTTTCATTCTCCATCCTCATTCCAGAGAGAAAAGGACAGCAGTCTTTGAAAAAAGAATTTCTTACCTTTATCTTTTTAACAATCTTGTTTTCTTCTTCATCATCTGTTTCTGGAAATTCATATATTTTAATTTTGTGTTCTTGGATTTCTTTCATTATCTGAAAACCAAAAACATTATTTGTTTGAGGAAGTCACACTTTTAAAATAATTTATTTCTTGCTGCCAGCTGATTCTCCCTCTTTCTGTTTGACTGCAAGACCTTTTTTCCTTAAGTTAACATCATGACACTCGCACAGGTTTAACACCACGAGGCTACTCCAAGGGATTATTAGCATGACCATCACTTCTTTGGCAGGAGAACACAGCTCAGCACTGGAGATTGCACAGCTGATGGAATACTGTCCATCAGAGCAAGGTAGCAGAAACAAACTAGGAGATTTATATTGATATATGTGCAAATGCAAAAACTAATATAGCTGAAATTTTCAGGTTGGTGTAGGAATTGGGCAACCTACCAAAAAAACCCAAACCCAAAACAATAACAATAAATCTGTAGGCATACTTTAGCCCTTTGAATTCCCACACCTATGGTTTTCTGTTCCTAGCTCACTCAAGCATCGCTTGCTAGAAGTAAGATGACCCAGTTTAGTTGATAGTTTGATTCTAGCAGCAAGATGTACTGAAAACACTTGCAAGCACTAATGAAAACGTAAGAATAACCGACGGCACCATCAAAAATGAGGCTGCACTGTTTTGGTGCCCGATTTATCTGAAGCATAATTTCAGAAACAAGCTGATTAGTTCTACAGAATTTTAGATGGAAAAATATTCGACCATTCAGCTTTCAGCTACATGGTTTTGGAGACTGTTTCTGATTCACAGCTTAGCAATCTCAGAGAATATCAGTTTCTAGTTCAGTCAAGGACTTATTTTCAATTTCATTTTGGAAAGTCTGCCCTAATTAACATCAGCTCATTGATAAAACTGTGCATGTAGTAAGAAATATGCTGCATTCTACATTATATGGGGTTACATCCAAAGGAAAACACGTGAGAAGAAACCAAAACTGTCTACAGCACCTTGACTAAGCTTCTCCAAGGCAGGAAATGTCTTCTCATATTCAGTCTTGTATCAAGAATTTTACATGGGGCATCTCTCTTACTATCAACGTTTTGAAGAATCTGTTACTTTTAAAACTACAACTGGACACAGTTTGATGAAACCAACCTAAGGTCTTGTTCTATCATGTTCTGTGTCCTCCTTGTCCTCCTTGTACAATATAGGGAAGATTAAGTGTTCTGATGACATAGCTGAAGTAAGCCAATTGGAAGCACTACCACCAAATTAGTAAAAATGCAAAGCAACAATGTCAATTGTATCAATGCAACAGTTATCATCTTTAAAAAGTATTGCTACAGACAAGACTGACTGGCAGATAACTTTTTCTCATCTACTGATGCAACTTTAATAAATCTACAGCATTCACTTTCACGTTGACATGTTAATAGCAATAATGTAATATTTTAAATATTGGGTTGTTTGTGTACAAGTTTTGGGGGATTACTATTTTTTTGTATTTTTTTCCCTTTTCTTTTTTTTTTCCTTTTCTTTTTTTTTAAACTTCTATTGGGCACCTAAAGCTTCAAAAGCCCTTCCTCCCTGGCCCTTCCTCCCTTACTGATTTTTATCTCAGCAGTGATATACTTCACCTGTCAAGAATCACGTTACACTTAAATCATAGAATCTTCCCCCGAGGACAGAAACAAGATTATTTCACCAAGAAATACAATTAAATCTAGAGATATAAATTACTCAGCTTTGCTGTCTCGAGTCACTGCTCCAGGGTTTGAACCTTGCATGTAAGAAGTTAAATCTCGCCATTTCCATAAGGACCAGGTTACTAAGTTATCCCACATTGTAAATATTAATCTTTCAGCTCACCTGTTTTTTAAACTGTTGGCATTCCTCAGGTGTAAGTGTGTCTGCTTTGGCAATAAGTGGAATGATATTCACTTTTTCATGCAGGCGCTTCATAAACTCTATATCCAAAGGCTTAAGTCTGTAAGACAGCATTAATGAATATAAATTGCAAGGCTTTAAACTAGAACATACTAATTATTTGAGATTTGTCTTGACAGCTATTCTTAAAGCACTGATTTATAAGTGACAGATGCTTGAATTTCAAAAGACTACCTGTAATTGCAATAGGAAATCCCCCACTATAGTACAGTGTTAGAGAAGCTAGTCATCAGCTAATAGTTACAGAGACTTCTGCTAGAGGAAATTACACTGACTTCAGCATGTGATAAAAACTCTCCTACTAAGGTTGCAAAGCTCACGAGTTGTTTTTTAATATTGTGTTGTTGAAGACAGTTAGAATTGCCTACGTGCAATCAAAGTAGAAGCATCTCATCTCCAAAGTACTGTGTTTAACAACAGTGTTATCAAAGCTGGTGATAGCACCTTAAACTAAACATCCACCATATGGTTACAAAAGTAACACCAGTGCAGGTCAAAATGCTCAACATTTCCTGCTTGCTAAAGTAAAGCCACAGGTTTCAATGTATTAATGCCTTAGAATTACAGCAAGTTTAGTCAGGCTTAAAGGATTCACTTAAAGGATTTAACAAGATTATTTCTCATATTAAAGAAATTAGGATTAGCAACAGATTCAATTGGTATTCAAGTTTAGCTTCTCCTCCAAATCACATACACACATATATAAATGAATAAAGAAAAAGCCAAAGGAAGCGTATTTCATTTCACTTTTACATCTTCTACTTGCCACTGAATCTCTCAGCTTCTCAGCATGCTTCTTTTCAAGCACTAGCACTAATGGATGTTGAGTTTCAAAGCACTGGTGTGACTATCTATTCAGCCAAATATGCTTTCCCTCCCCTCATCTCAAACAGCTACCAAAGCCAACACCATGCCAACGGGCAGCCATCGAAGCAGAGTAGTTCCAACTTCAGCACTTGAGACTCAGACATGGAGACTTCATGTGAAGATCCTAGAAGTGCAGGAAGAGGCTGCAATTCAACCCCCATCTACCAGCCTCTTCTTTCTCTCCTCCTTCCCATACCACCTAACTTGTTAGCTCAGATGTTTGTGTGGAGATCAGCTACCAACAGTGAAACACATTAAATGGAAGGACCAGAAGTTGCATACAGAAGTTGTAGCAAGCCTGCTTTTTACAAAGGCATTAAGTCATTAGGACAAACAAAAGCAAGTTCACCTACAAATGCTTTAATTCACTGTGAACAGACACGTGCACAAAGGTGACAAGTATTTGTTTGACGAGTTGTATGGGCTGCTGTCTTCACAGGAAGCACAATGGAAGACTGCACCACCACAAAAGCCAGGTAGGAAGTGAGTAATGTCCTTTCAGAGAAGAGAGCAGTATGAAAGAGGAAATTAATGCTAACGGAAGCACCGATTCTCTCTGTGCTCCATTGATTTCCTTAATTACAGAACACCTCCAATCACTCACCTCTAAAATTGAAAGACACAAGGTAAACCTAACTCAATGTTGAATTTTTTCAAGAACAACATACAGTATCACTATAAGGAACATTTTACCAGCTTCTACACTAGCAGTCAAAACTAAAACTTGATTTATCTGAATTTTCCCATGCAAACAATTTGTACCAATGATGGATTTAAAAGCCTTCAACAGATAAAAGCTGGGAGAAAAAAAGACTTTTGTTTTTAAGAATCTCGAATCTATATTCAAAAAATTGATTAACACAAAAGAAGGTTTATTCTCCCTTTTATTAACATGCAATTTTAGTTTGGCCCAACTAATGAAGCATTATCTGCCTCACACTCAAATATTTGCATTTAAAATTGAAACATACATGGAGTAAAATTGCCATAACAAACATGCATGTTGGTGAAAAAATGTTTAAGGTAAACCTGCACAAGAAAAAACAGCCTTTTTTCACTGCCAGAGAAATATTCCTCAGAACTTCTTCTGTCACTTCCTTCGCAAAACTTTACTACTTTTGATCCATGCAACAAAATACCCTACTTTTCTGCTCCTCCTGGTTTTGAAGGTGCTACTTTAAGAGCCTCTGACAACATTAATCAGTTGTAATATATGATCAAATGCTAAGCAGCCAAACTCAAAATCTGCATCTAATAGACTTTGAAAATGCAGTTCTCTCTTTCTACCACTAGATAGAAGTCTGATCAAGTTAAAAAGCAAGAAGAGGTGGAACACTGCACAATAACTGAAAAATACCTAAAATGCCAATATTAGAATTGTCACTAGACAAAGGATTACTCCCAAGGTGTATACTTACAAGGATGCCAGAAACTCTCCATCTTCAATTTATCAATAACATCAGATAGAAGGAGGGAAGAAAAGAGGGAAGAAAAAACTCTGTTGCTTAAAGTGTGAGCCAGCTTTTACAGCTGAAATGTATTATTGTATGTAGCAAGTGCATGAACAATGACAAAGAGCTAAAAAGTAGCTTTAGTACTTTTGAGCACTTCTGTATTTTTAATTGTTCCAATACTACCTTTTCTTGTTATGGAACTGATGTGCAGCCACGTTTTCTGGTGTTCTATCTTACCACCTGCAAAGCTTGCTGATGTTCAGCAAGCCAAAGTAAGCTCATCCTTGCAGTAAGACACGGTCTGCAGGCCATTTAGGAAAAGTTCCTAAGTAAAAATGTCAAATTTGAGTGTTCATCTGAGATACAGACAGATATAGGAAACTTAATATATATAATACTAACCCATGTCCTGAAGGAGCAATGAAGTATAAACAGCACTGAACTCTATTATCTGGCATCTGACGTCTGTTCACACGAGATTCTGCATTCAGGTAGTCCTCAAATTTACTGTCAATGTAGTCAATAACAGGCTGCCAACTGCAGAGGTGACATGAATAAAAACCTGTAAGTTACATCATTTAGGTAAAAACTCTGACTTTGCTAAGAATTAGTTGGCTTTTTTTTTTTTTAATGAATGAAATCAACACAGCATGTTTTATGCAAACAGCTTCTAAGCATACAATTGAGTTACACAAAGGCCTGAAGACTGAATATATCAGTTCACTGGAAAACCCTTACAAACACAATTACCTTCATCATAATAGCATTAAATAGAATGCTTAGAAGAGTAACCAAAGGAAGTGCTTTGATGGTCCAATCTTGTAAGAGCATATAAATAGGTTCAGCATACTGGAAGTGCTGATAAAAAGCTAAATGTTCTGTCCACTTAAAGGCATTAAGAGACAAACTGATAGCATTTCCATCAAGTTATAATGGTAATGAAAACTACAGCAAAGTTTCCAGTTAATGACAAAGCACAGGCAAGTTCAAACACATTAGTTTTTTAACTGAAGATCTAGGCACACACTTAAACTCACAAGGTATTGTATCACACACGTAGGAAAAAAAGATAATCCCATATTACTGTGGGAGAACAAAGAATGCCTTCTTACCAATTACTATTATCCACAGCATCTCCAAATCCTGGTGTGTCAACTATTGTAAGTAGTAACTGAACACCACCTTCTTTGATTAAAACTTTTGACTGCTCCACCTGTAAAAAGAATCAGGTTAAATGCTTCACAATATAGTCACCAGTTTAAACAAAAGGGAAAAGCACTCAGTGAGTAACAAACCCAACAAAAAGCTGCCAATCTTTCTGCCTCTGGGTAACTTGCTTTGCTTATAAAACCCCAATTTCTTTGGTAATCAATGATTTGTACATCAAAATGGATCATGATTTAAATTTTAGAAGTCCATAATAAAAGAACCCGTTTAGTATATTAGATAGCCTGATGTTTTATCTCCTTTAAAAACAGGAAAAACACTAAGCTGATGTCAGCATAAAGATATTCTGAGATATCCAGACATTCTCACAAACCACGCATCATCCTCAGTGAAATTGCTAACTTCAGATATTTTAAAGAAAACAGCTTTTTGGAGCTTAGTCCCACCACCTGCCCCAACCATCTGAAATGTCGCATGTCTAGTTCAGTTCATCCCTTAAGAGCGCGCTCATTTGCGTTCACCCAGCATAATGCTGCGAAAAGCATCCAAGAAAGTGACTGTTTCCTGGTATAAAGGCAGCAAGACTGGAAGAGAACACAATCCAGCTGCAGTCTGCTGCACCACGACTCACGTGATCATCCTGGATTGGTTTTCTGGTAGCTCAGGTCACTGATGGAAATCTGACTCAACAAGACAACCGCCACAGCACAAGATCTGATGCAAGACCTGGGTGTGGGAATGCCTGCTACAGCTGTGACCATCCGTATGCAGCACAGCTCTGTGAGCTTGCAGGAAGCTGGTCAGAAAAGTTCAGGCTGAACAGCAAATTGACTGCCAAGTCTATTTTTTCCTCTTTTTTTTCCCTTCACATGTAGTAATATCTCAGTAATTACTGACAATGCCAACATCAGGTGTATCCAGCAATAAAACAGCATTTGGTGAAAAAACTGTGCTATAATCACTGTCCTACCTGTCAGTCTGATCCACAACAGTAAGAAATGACAAACTCACAGTAGTATCTTGGTCTTTTGAACTGCTCGCATATTTAATCATGCTTTCCCTGATACTATTAGTAATTCAATAAAAATTGTCCCGAAGCTGCTTTCCAGGTATAGATTTAATAAATCAACCACTCCATTTATTGCTCTTAATAGCAAGTGACTGCACACAAGATATTTATGCCACAGCATTGCTTAATATGCTGCTTAAGCCTCTTGATCACCAACTTCAGAAAGAAAATCCAGCTCTGTGTAACTACCTGCAAGAACAGCAATGAGCTGTCAGAGTAGAAACTTGGATGGAAAGTCCTTTTTGGAGAGCCCCTTGACCTGCTTAAGACTCGATAGATCCTCCCAATGATACTGAAGAGCTTGCACATAGCTATTTGTGCAGGTGAAACAGGCTGGTTCACACACACACACACACACCCCTGAAAACTGTTGCAAGCACTTTGCAATCATTGCCTGTGTGATTTAACCTAAAGCTGTAAGACGAATGATCACTCCACAGAAAGTCAAACGAAATACCTCTTGCATAAGTAAAACACTCATAATTAAGAATATACAGAAGCACAGAAAACAACAACAACTTCAAAGAAGTTGCAGCTCCATATTTAACCTCTAAGTATGTAGCAAGCCACTTCTCCCCCCTTACTTATCAGTAGTTATCCTATCCAAGCCAGATCAATCCATTTTGCCCCTAGGTCTGAAGAAAGAAATTCAGCAATGCCCTGGCTGTCTGCAGCATGCAGTCACCATGAGCAGATTCCTCCCCCAACAAAAAGGCAAAACAATAAACAAAATCAGTAAGGCATCTTCTCAGCGCTGGAATTATCTGGATGATGAGTTATAGGAGAATCTGGGTTGGAGTGGACTTCAAGGCCACCCATGTTCTCCTTCTTGAGCATGCCTAACTGCAAAGTTAAGGAAGTTTAAAACAAAGTTAAAAAACAAACAAACAAAAAAAAAAGCCAACAAACCAAACACACTAAAACCCACCCACATCCAACCTGGACACCACCCAGCCATCCTTCCACTAACTGCACAACTTCCACCGTTCCAAAAGTGTTCAATATAAAGCACAGAGAATCTGCAAATTCGTGCAACATTCTAAACTGTGAAGTTTTAATTGTGGTGAGTAGATTTTTTTTCCCCCTCGAGAACTCCATAGAGAAATTTTCTTGTACACAACTATGCCAGAACTCAAGGCAGTAATCCCCAGGCACACAGTCAACTCAGCCAAGAGTTTACTACTCACAAGCTTTAGCATGCAGAAGATTAACTTCTGATTCCTTGAATTCTTTTTGCTATCTTGCCTACAGTAAACACACAACGTTCCTACAACCAAGCTCTCTGCAAGTATAAGAAAGCCATTATATTTTCTAAATACTGCAGATGATAACATTAAGAACTGTACTCTTGCCAAACACTACAAGGTATCAACTTTATTCTTCAGCAAAAAAATTCCCAGTAAGAGTCATTAAATTCTTAAGCTCTCATAGTGGAATGCTTTTACAGGAAAAGCAATTAATAACGAATAATCTCGAATGTGTGTTTATAACCAAGAAAAAGGAAGGTCAGGAGTTCCTTAGAAATGCCACACCAAACATTTCTCTCTGACTGCAGCTCAATTTCTGAAGTCACCTTCTGACAAATGCCTGCCTTTGTAACTGAACCTCTGCTGACAACGCTAACATCTTCCTTGGTGGTAAGGATTGAAATTCTTACTTTTCATCAATTCCTGTAAACCCTGCTGCAATAGCAAGGCATTTTCAAATACCTGCTGAATAAGAAGCTTGGTCAATCTAATTGTTTGTGAGCACGCTGTGCACAGTCAGCCCATGCCCACCACATACTGTAAGTGGTAGAGACAGCTGGTAAGGGACAGTAGGCAAAAAAAGCCCTGCCCTACAGCCTCTGGAAAGTTGCATTTCTTTTGTAATTTAAATGGATGTGGCCATAGATGGTCAAAGGCAAAGAAAAGCAGCAACATCTGGAAAAGATCCAAAAAATCCCTGTAAACCAGTGTCATTCATAGTTAAGCATCCAACTGTATCCTATCATCTGGTTTTACAAGTATTCCCAAGGGATTCATGGAAAACATTAGTTCAAGCCCTGGAATTTGAAGCTTTTAATAAAAACCCTCCTCCAAACGGCCATTTTCCCATGCACTCTGGTTAACTGGGTCACGCTGGTCAATCCTGCAGTGCTACACAGAATTCTGTGACACCGAGCACGTTACAGCTTGGCTGTTTTAATGGATTAAACAGGACTTTGCATCCATCTGACATCAAGCCATTTACTGTTATCTGCTGGTTTTTCTGTGTTCTCCATGAAAGGAACACAGAGGATGTGCCTCACGAAACCACGTAAAGCCACTGTTGTTTGGGGAATGCTGGAAAACTACAGTAAGCAATTATTTGAGTGAGACCACTACTTGTTTTCTGATCAGTGACTCCCATTGTATCAGAGCAGGGAATTATTACCACTGAGGGTTTAGGCTGCTCTCACATTATGTCTTATCTCCACCCTCCAAAACCTTAGCATTCTGATATTCAGCCTAAAAATGCTTACATAGCCAAGAGTACAAATCCCATAGATCCAAGCAGCAGGTTTTGTTACTCCCTCTTTGATTTGTTATTTGCTTGAAATCACATACAAACACACAGTTTCCAAAATTGTAGTGGCAAATTTTTATTCTCACTTAAAAACTGAGATAAGAGATTTCTGTCTTTGAAGAACACAACAGTTCAGGATGATTGGATCATCTAATTTTGCTATTTAGCACATGAAAACACCTAACTGAGAGTGCAGAAACTCCACGTGAACAGTTTTTAGTTGTTCTTACGCTGATCCATCATTAGTCAGGGATGGAGTGAGTTACCTGTGAAAGCTGTTTTGTTATTCACTTGCTTGTTTTTAAGTTTGAATGTAAATTTTTCTTGTTTTTCCCAGTCATAAAAATCTTCCAGTGACAGGATGCCAACTCAGCCTTAAATTACTTAAAATAACGCATGTCTGTGAACATAATCTGAATGGGTTTAGCTTCAGCTACCAATGCCAAATCAACAATAATAGTCACACCAAGCTTTTCCTCCAATAATAAAAACCATCCTATGCAGTCTTCCAGCATTTACTGAGCCTCATTACAGCTCATTAATGAGTTTGTTTTATTAGAGCTAAACTATTGGCACACCTTTTCCATACGACTTAACAGTTCTTTAAACCAGGTTGAATCAGCTCAGCTTTTCTTAGTGCTCTAATGCTCCTAATAACAAGCAGGCCCACAGCCCATTTTGGTACTGTGATTTTGTCAAATACTTTGACAGACATGGCCAAAGCTTAGAGAAACACTGTTCACCTCCAGATGTTCAAAAGCTACCCACCAAACAAAAATAAACAAATAACATTCTGTAACAAACACACTTTATGTTAGCTTTTGAGACTTGGAAGTTGAGCTAGCTGGCAAGCAATTTCATTTAACTTTCTGTAGTATGAGTACAAGCAAGTTTTTCCTGGTTATCATCTAGTGTCCTGAAACAGGATAAAAAGGGGAAAAAAATAACTTAAAAACACCCAAAGCTCCAGAAGGAAAAACAAACATCCCCACAAAATACTAAGGTCAGTGGATCACAGCACTGGAATAGTGCTATCCAATTCCACTGAGCATTCAATGTTAGAATTTCTGTTCAGTGTTACAAGTATCTACTAGCTCAACACAAGGCCTTCTAATCCCCTCTTGACAGCTGTGTCAGTACAAAACCACTTTGGACACAGCTGAGGTGATCCGAGTGTCACACTCTGCAGCTGGAGGAGCTGTGAGGGACAACAGCAGTTGTGAGCCATAACCTGGTACTTGGCAGAGGTGTGTATTAAGTTGGATTTATCATAAGCTGTCTTCACTAAAATCTTAAGTGTCTGACAGACATCAGGAGAAATGAGTGGAGCTGGTCTGCTCTTATTCCTTTGTGCAACTGTGGAGGCAGCAAATAGCTGACTGAAGAGCAATTATTTCCTAACCTACTCATGACACCAAGAAGGCATTCAGTTATTTCTTAGTATCAGGTTGTTTTGTTTTTGAATACTATTTTTTATAACATGAACAACATGCTGCTCTTCTCGAGAAGAAAATATACTTAATAGCAGTAAAATATTACAGAAAACAAATAGATCAAGTTCTGCTTTTTCAATGTGACTAAGCATTTTAGTTGTAACACGCACTTGCAGGAATATATCCTTTGCCTACAGAGTCCAGTGCTTAAAGTCAGCCAGGTTCACCTTAGTCCAGAATAACAACTTCTAACTGGTAGAAAATGTACCACAAAGAAGACAGGTTGCAGAATACTGCTGTAGTTTGACACAAAAGATTTGCAGTAAGTGGAAGGACCTAATAATACAGTTTCTGAAAGCCTGCTTTAAGGAGTTTTTTAGTGCACATTTAAGCATTTCTACATATATACTCAGTATCTTAACTGACAGTAAAACATCCCACTTCCCAGCAGGACTGAAGCCATATGATACTTCTAAAGCACAGGCAGCACACCAAGTACTTCAGGGCTCCCACACTTCAAAAGGCTACAAGTTTCATAGCCTGAAAGTTCTGTGTAGTTACTGTATGCTGGGCTATACACTGAGTATTTAGTAGTGGTTCAACACTGTGGCTGCACTTCTTTAAAACATACGTACTTATCTGACAACTGCATCACCTTATGTCACTAAATTGCAAGTTAATTTACTCAAGCTGCAGTCTTCCCCCCAGACATACCTGTACAGTCTTTTTAATTCTGTGTGAAGGGCCTGGATACTCTGGGGAATATAATTCTGTTAAGAATAATGAGTTGATTAATGTTGATTTTCCCAGTCCAGATTCACCTAGAAGAAAACAGAACAGTTTAGTAAAACACAGTATCAGAGATGGTATAAACACCTAGATGGATACTTCAAATACTCTTAACATATAATATCTGAAAATATTCACTTCTTTCTGAGAGCTTAAGAAGCTATCATCTTCCAGATATATATATATATATCTGGAAAAAAAAAATATATATATATATATATATAAAATATATATATATATTTTTTTTAACAGCACAACTGTCACTGTTAGGTTCTATAAACATTCATTTTTCAGATCACATTTTTGGTATTGCTAAATGCTTTTAGCACTTCTTCATAGCTCCTGTTAAAATACACAAAGGCTGTACTGCCCCAATTAAAGCTTATTAACAAGTCACCCTCCTGGTACTAGTTTGTATCATGATATCAAAGTGAATTGATATATTTCCTTCATGTCAATTTGAAGATCTTGCTACAGGGAGGGGGTTGGTGGAAGGAAAATACGAACTTGGGATTATTTTGTTTTCATTACTAAAGTCATGAGAACTAAAATGAGGTTTCAAAACTATGTGGTTTGCATGGCAATTTTGTTGCAGTATGGAAGGGGAATGGATTTTATTTGTGGTAGGTTTATTTGCTAAATTGTTCATGAATAACAGTAAGCCAGCCTTACTAAAGAATCTGGGAGGCAGCACTGTCATGACAATCCAAATGAATACATTTACAAATCCCACCATAAAAATTACCCCCATTTATAGCTCCAAAGAGACAGGAGCAAGAATTCCAGATCAACTACTTGCATTACAGTACTTAGAAACACAAGTCTTTTACTTAGGTTTGTATCATAAAGGAATTACTGCAATGTGATAAAGCACACCCCCATGAAAGTAAGCAAATACAGATTCAATCTCTCTGCTCCTCTTTACAATTTTCCCTATGTGGTGGTGTTAATGTTAACTGAAACAGATACAGTTGCACAGCAATTTGCTCTTGAGGCAATGCATTCAGATACAAACTAAAACTAGCCTGCTACACCCTGTCCACCATCCAAAACAACAACAGTTTTAGAGACTGAACTTCAGGCTTCAAAACTTGCCTCAGTAAGCATCCTGGGTTAACGTAAGTAATCAAGAGCTACAAAACAGAGAGCAGCTATGAGCTTCAGCAGACAAGCCTGTGTTTCCGCTGTAATCGCTGGCTGGATTTCATCCACCAGCTAGTTTATACGCATCAGCCAGCTCCATTACAAGCACGGAGCTCCAAGTCTCCGTGGTACTGAACAGAGCAATCTGATTAGCTGCACTGTAAATGGATTAGCAGCTGCTGAAATGCTGCAAGTGGAGCTCCTGCAGTCTGGCTCTGCTACGAGCAGCGCTCCTCCTGCCCAGCCCACCCTGCCTCAGACTAAGCTCGCCTGCAGGGACCCATCGTGTGGGGAGCGTGGGCTGCGATGGTCAAGGAGCAAGGAGACACCCCACGTTATAACCTCAAAGCAGAACTGCTGGGAGCACAGACCCCAGAACGACAGCAACCCAAAAGCTAGGGGGGATGAGTTTGCTGACAAGCATTTCGTAACTATCATTGCAGATTTTTCTGCAGCCAGATCTCTTAGATGTTTCACTGCACAGCAAATTGCTGAGAAGTGTCTGCTTGCAAGAGGCACACACACACTGATGCTGTTCACTTGCTCAGGGCATGCCCAGCTGCATTTCCAAGGCTCCCTACTAAGCCTGCAGTGGACAGAAGCTCCCACAAAGCTCAGCTTGCCCAAGCACCCAATGCTGCAGCCAGTTTGAAGCTCTGGATTCCTCCCACTGCTCTGCTCAGGACACACGCATCGCTCCAGGTAAGCTGCAGAATTATTTATCCATCCTACTGAACCCCATTTTGCAATTTATAATTTATCTTCTTTTGCTGATCACTCCTCCTTCTTAGTTGACCATAATCTCCCCAAAGACTCTCTGTGCACTGTTGAAGAAGCTGCAGAAAAACATCTGCGTAGCCAGTTTAACTAATATATATATAAACTGTCCCTTCTTTCCTCTCAGGCTTACTGCAAGTAAAAGTGGAAAACACAGCACAAACACTCCTCTCAAATATTACACTGCTTGTTGTAATACCACTGAAATTCAACATATGGAAATGAGATCTTTAGCTTTGAAAAGATTTGACGAAGAGCCAAGCAGCTCACCCAAGATGGCTGCTGCAGCTGCAGTACTGCACAGTCTGCTTTCTGACCTACAGCAGCATCAGGAGCTGACAGATTTGGGGTTTCCTTCCAAGGATAGGAAGGTAGTTTCCAGCTGAAGTCAGCCAAAAGACAGCACACTAATGACATTCATGCACCACCCTGTGCTCAATGGGTGCCCAGCCACCTGAAAGCATGTACTGATGCTAACTTTAATCAACCAGTGCAGATTGCAAGTTCAGACTGCTCAACTACTACACCACCTTCCAGTTAACACTTATGATGGCAGTTAAGGCTCTAATAACAAATACATTACACTGAAACCATAGGAAAAACCCAACTGGAACGTTCCATTCTGTACTATGGGGAGTCGCACTGCCCCCAGCGCTGTCCAGTTGGACATTCTCTGCTGACTGCAAAGGATGCAGAATTAGAGAAGCTAAAATGTTCAAGCAATTCTAGCCAGCCTCACACATCTGATTATTCTGATCTTAGCTAGAATTATGTTAAACAAAAACCTTTGCTTTTCCCCAAACAGAGGCTTGTTCAATGCAAATTCAGCTGAAAGGACTCCCTACTGGAAAAGCTTGAAATGCAGCTACAGAGGATTCAATTGGCTACAAATACTACAAACAAAACACAAGCAAAAGGAAAAACAAATGGAATTTAGTTTGCTTTAACATAAAAAGCACATCCACAAAAGACATATCCTCCCCACCTTATGTAAGCATTTCTGATGAGATTTTGCACTGTTAACACACCATAAGGAGGCAGAAGGATAAAAGATGACAGAACCATTTCAGTGGTCCTACCTTCCAATCGCCCTGTGCATCATGATGCATAACTAGATCCAGCAGCCTAACTAAGAGTGATTTTTAAGAGATTTTTCTGTTTTCAGCATAAAATAATTCACTTCAGAAAGGCAAATAATGAAATCCTTAGACTTTGCAAGGTAATTCTGAACCCTGAAGTCCAATTATTGTTTATGATGTTCACATGGTGCTGACTTCCCTTCCCGTGCCCTCACTCTCCCACTAAATGTTTCATATATGCTTCAGGTTTCTTCTCAACTTTCAATTCTCCCTTCAATACTTTCTGCCTATGCTATCAGCAAGTTAGTGCTTTACAATTCCAACATTTTCCCAAGCTGCTTTTCCTTTGAATTCATATCCCTATACATTGAGTTAGCCACTCCCATTGGTAGAATTAACAGGTACTTCTGTTATACAGACCCACCAGTCTTACAAAAGACAATCTTTTGCCAGATTGGAAGAACTGGCAAAAGTTCTGACTCTTCACATGTGTATGAGTGTCTAAGTGTCTGTACAAACACTGCAGTTTCTCCTCACACTTTGTTAAGTTGTATACATTCAGTGCCTATTTTTTCTCTAGTTCAAATTCTATCCATCAGCTCTTGTTCCAACTTTGTTACTTCAAAGGAACTTAAGCTGCAAGCCTCTCCTCCCTACGATAATAGAAATGAATTCTTATCCTTACATCTTAATGACACTGCTTTTTTTCCACCATTCATTGTTGTGGCACGTTGAGAATGTGGCCTATTTCCAACCTCCTCCGACTTTTCAACCTCCTCCATCCTTATTCAATCAAGTACAAGGGAAACGAGCAAGCAGTCCAATCCAGCTTCCAGCTTTACATGTGATTGCCGTTATATTCCTAACTCCAGCTGGAGAGTACTATCTTCCCATTACACACTCCATGTCCTCGCAATGCGCCATGTATCATCTTCAGGTCATCGTATCACCCTGAAAATCCAGGATCAATTTTTCACTGCATCCGCATGTACTTCTGGAAACCTTTTCCTAAAATCCAACCCTTCAACTCACAAACACGACTCACACGCTTAGATTTATGATTGTGCATTAAACACGATCCAGATAACTAATTAATGCTGAAGATTCTCAGTGGGCTCTCTGCAGGTTTCATTTGCTTATTCTACTTCCTCGTCGAACAAGAAAAATTACTCTTGCAGATTTGACCAGAAGTTTGCTTCTCTTTACTAAAAATTAGCAGCTACCATCACTGCAGCAGTGCCCTATGACATTCAATTACACCACTGGGAATGTGACTACATACACTATCTGTGCCCAGGAATTTCAAGTTGCTTTCCCAGGCTCCAAGTAGAACCCATAAATCCACAGTTAAGCTGCCCTGAGAAGCTTCACGTACTGTCACCAAGATGACCCAGCTTCAGCCGCTGTATCTATGTAGAACAGCAATACCTGCAGATTCAAAATCACAGACTGTGGTGGGTGAGAGAAGGCACACTCACCTGCTTCAGACCTTAGCAGAGACAAGCCAAAAGCACCCCACGTTCCAGACAAAAAAAGTTCTCTATGCACATTTTTTCCAAAGCTTCCTCTGCATTTGAAGAAGACTGTATTTAAGACTCATCAGTGCAAGCCAGTCAAATATTATGCTGCAGAGGCTTTAATCCAATACATTTCTTCTCAGACATAGGGGTAGAGATTTTTAGCCCCAGGCAGATATTTAAAAGGGATCAAGTTCAACAGAATAAGTGCTGTACTTCCCAACAAAATAACTACACAGAATATTTACATCAAAGCCCATTTTATTTTTAGCAGGTGTGTTAGGCTTCCGATGGAATCTCTCCCATTATATAATTTCTAATTCAGCTTCTGCTTAAAATATAGTCCCAGCAGTTTGATGTTGCTGATTCAAAGGAGGAAAAAGCTTGTCAGAAGACAAAAATAATGCGTTTCCTTTCATCCCTGTACAGCTCATAGGACATGCGCACGACAGCACCTGCAGCTTTATGCAAATGGCCCACGTCTTTGATGCTGCTGTACCACAGTTTGCAGTTTTT